TGCAAATGGATGGAAATAGAAAACACTATCCTGAGTGAGATATCCCCGACCCAAAAGATGAATATGGTGGGTACTCACTCATTAGTAGACTCTAGCTATAAACAAAAGACATTGAGCCTAGAGTCCACAATCCTTGAGAAGCCAAATAACAAGGTAAACCCAAAGGAAAAAAAAATTCTCCTGGAAATTGGAAGCAGACAAGAATGCCGGGCAAAAGTTGGAAGCATCGGGGTGGGGGTGGGGTTGGGGGAAGAGGGAGAAAGAAAATGCAGTTAGGAAGGATTGAGCAGTGCTTGGTGAGTGGGAGGGCTGAGATGGAGGAAGGGCGGATATAGGAGCAGGGAAGAAGATATCTACACTAAGGGAGCGATTTTAGGGTTGGCAAGAGGTTTGGCTCTAGAGAGGAACCCAGGTGTCCACGGGGATGTCCCGAGCTAGGTCCTTGAACAACACAGGAAAGGGTGCCTTAACTGGCCTTGTCCCACTATCACATTGATGATTATCTTGAATATCACCATCGAACCTTCATCTGGCGATGGATGGAGATAGAGACAGAGACCCACATCAGAGCACTTGACTGAGCTCCCAAGGTCTAGTTGAAGAGCAAAAGGAGGGAGAAGATGAACAAGGAAGTCAGGACCGCGAGGGGTTTGTCCACCCACTGAGACAGTTTGTCTGATTTAATGGGAGCTCACCAAATCCAGTTAGACTGGGACTGAACGAGTGTGTGATAAAACTGGACTCTCTGATTGTGGCTGACAATGCAGCCTGACTGAGAAGTCATTAATAAAGGCACTGGGACTTGTTTTTACTGTATGTACTGGCTTTTTGGGACCCTAGTCTATTTGGATGCACATTTTCCTAGGCCTGGATGTAGAGGGGAGGGCCTTGGACTTCCCACAGGGCAAGGTACCCTGCCCTCCCATAAGGCTGGAAGGGGAGGGAGGGGGATGGTTGAGGGAAGAGAAGGGGAATGGGAGGAGGGGGGAAGTGGAAATTTTTGAATGGAAAAATAAAAATGAAAATAAAAATAAAAAAGAGAAAGAAAAAAGTGTGTGGATTGGGTGGGTGATAGTGTTTTGAGAGTCTGGGAGAACTTGGGGCAAAGAAAACCATAATTAGAAGATATTGACTGAAAAATCTTTATTCCATTAAAAACCAAGAAGGTTGTCACTATGTTTCCTCAGAAGTAAAGGGAAGAAAAATTGAGGTGTGGGTGATCATTAGGGCACACAGGAATGCAACCATCATAGGACTTCAGATGACACTGTTAGCTTCCCAAGTGATAGGAGGAGGGGAAGCAGAGTGTTCCTTTATAGTGTACCTGGGTGTGAAATGCAAGACATTTTCCACTCAGGGCTTGGGGTCCCAGGCTTGTGAAATGCTACCTGTGGGGTGGACATGCACATGGCTTCAGAGGGTCATCATGCTGATATTCAGATGGCATGGAGTAACTTTGTGAGGAGGTGGGAGTAAAATCTCAGTTAGGTTTTCAAGTTGACTTCCTTGCATAGTCTCTGATTTATCCTGGACAGTGTTTTATATGCCTTTTGATGCGTATAGTACTCTTATTAGGTAGCATTTTCAAAATAGGTTCAATTACCTATATTTGTTAGTAATGTGAAGAGTGTCCATTTTGCTTCACTTACTTGTGGACTAATGGAATTTTGAAGATCAAGAGAATGTGTATATATACCATTTAAGTCTGGTGTTGTTTATTGTGTTTGTCTGTCTGATTAATTCACATTTAAAAAAGGGCTATGGAAGAACATTTTTTCACTTACATGTATTTCATTTTCATATTTATAAATATGTTTCATAAATTAATTAAGTCACACACATATACAATTTATGTATATATATATTTAGTAAATTTATTTTATCATTTTACAATGATCTTAATTTTTCCTTTTGAGTTTTTGTTTTACGTTCTGTTTTCTCTGATGTAAATCACCATCCTGCTGTGGTTTTGGTTTCTGTTTTCATGGAATGTCTTTATCATTTATTGCGATAGTCTTAATGTGGTGTCTCCCTAACAATGCATGTTGCTTCCACATCTTCTTCATAATGATACCGTAGAGGGGTTTTCCAGGTAATTGTGTCTAGAAGCCTTTCCTCACTAATGGAGTTAGTTTCATTAAAAAGACTCTGCAGAGCAATTCCTTGCCGAATTCTGCCATGCAGTGGCACCTACATAAGAAAAAAGCGTGTCATGGGATGTCACTAAATTTTATGGCATCATGTTAGATATGCCATTCTGTACAACTTTCTGATGTGAGTGCCTTTTAAGGGAGCACATTCAGTTTACAGCCACTTGTTCCAGTGGTGCTGGCACACAACTGCCTTCACAAGTGTTAAAGTTAAATACAATGAGTTTAAAAATTATTTTAAACTAGTAATAGTTAAGCATTTTCTTGGCATTTCAACAGTATGTCCACTCTTTAATATTATATAATATATGAGAAAACTGCTCTGTTTATCTTTTAGATTTCAACATTTTAAAAGTTTAGACTTTTTTTTTGGCCAAAGTAATTAAAGGAAGGCTGTTTAAGATGAGTGAAAAAGATCACCTTGAATTATGTATTTGAAATTTCCAGAATTACATGCTGAAATGCACTGGGAGTCAGCCTCCCTCAGGACCCAGCAATTCCACTCTTGGGAATATACCCAAGAGATGCCCTATCATACTGCAAAAGCATTTGTTCAACTATGTTCATAGCAGCACTATTTGTAATAGCCAGAACCTGGAATCAACCTAGGTGCCCCTCAATAGAAGAATGATTAAGAAAGTGTGGAACATATACACAGAGTTTTACTCAGTGGTAAAAAACAATGACATCTTGAATTTTGCATGCAAATGGATGAAAATAGAAAACGCTTTACTGAGTGAGGTAACCCAGACCCAAAAAGAGGATTATGGTATGTACTCACTCATAAGCGGATTCTAACCATAATTAAAGGTCTTTGAGCCTATAATTAGTGATCTTAGAGAAGCTAAATAAGAAGGTGAACCTGAAGAAAATCATATAGTTATCCTCCTGGATATTGGAGGTAGACAAGATTGCCAGGCAACCTTGGGTGCACGGGAGGGGGGTGGGGGTGGAAATAAAGGGAGATTGTTAGAGAGAAGGGAGTAGGGGAGGATGGGGGATAGCTTGGGGGAATGGGATGTGGGGGAGGGAGGAAGGATGGATATGGGAGCGAGGAAGTATATATCTCAACTAAGGGAGCCATTTTAGGGTTTGCAAGAGACTTGATTATAGAGGGGTTCCCAGGTCCAAGGAGAGATCCCCCAGATTGGTCCCTGGACAGCAGAGGAGCGGGTGCCTGAACTGGTCTTGGCCCATAACCATACTGACGAATATTTTGCATATCACCATAGAACCTTCATCTGGCGATGGATGGAGATAGAGACAGAGACCCACATTGGAACACTGGACTTAACTCCCTAGGTCCAAATGAGAAGCAGAAGGAGGGAGAACGTGAGCAAAGAAGACAGGATCAGAGGGAACCTTCATCCAACGATGGATGGAGATAGAGACAGAGACCCACATTGGAGCACTGGACTGAGCCCCCAAGGTCCAAATGAGGAGCAGAAGGAGGGAGAACATGAACAAAGAAGTCAGGACCGTGAGGGGTGCATTCACCCACTGATACAAGGGGACTGATCTAATGAGAGTTCACCAAGGCTAGCTGGTCTGGGACTGAACAAGCATGTGATCAAACCGAATTCTCTGAATGTGGCCTACATGGGGGCTGACTGAGAAGCCATTGATAGTGGCACTGGGACTTGTTTCGTCTGCATGTTCTGGCTTTTTGGGATCCTAGTCTGTTTGGATGCTCACCTTCCTAGACCTGGAGGGAGGGGGGAGGAACTTGAACTTCCCACAGGGCAGGAAACCTTGACTGCTCTTAGGACTGGAGAGGGAGGAGGAGAGGGAGTGGGGGGCGTGGGAGGATACTGGGAGGAGGGGCGGAAGTGGAAATTTTTATAAATTAATATTAAGTTTATAAAAAAGAATATTCTAAACCATAAATCAATGAACTGCTATTTGATATTAAAATCATCACTGACATCTTTATAGTTCTCCTAGGTATTAGTAAACCTTTTTGAAATTCTTGTCCTAAGTAACTTACTGTTATGGTTTTAAACTGATTGTATTAATAGTAGAGATATAGAAAAATAAAGATAGACATCTATATTCCTCAGTTTATGCAAGAGTTACATCCTTACTAGCCATGGTACACTGAATAACAATATTTAAAATTCATTTTACATACTAATGATTTATTAATCAGAGTTAGCAACACAGGGCTTTTGAAATGTTGCTTGTTTTCACTGGTCAAACAGGAGCTATGGTGAGTTACTGCCACTCATTTTTACAGAATCATGTTACATATTTATAGCCCAGTAATAAAAATATAAGACTGTAGCATTAGTTGCTGAATATATATCACTTTTTCACTGTCATAAGGCACACAAGTCATGTTTGATACTGTAAACCAGAAATTGTCTTTAAAGATATCAAATAGAAACCCTTAACACTATTACCTCTAAAGAGTAATATAGTTTTTAAATAAATTTTATTGTATTTATTGTTAATTTTCTTTTCTATTACTTTGTGTACAAGTATCTATGTGCTTATTGCCTGTTCAGAATAATTATAGTTTTTAATATTGGCATTTTGATAGTTATTGAATTATATACCCAGTTAATTTTAATTTCTTTATGTAATTATTGAACATTTAAATTGAGAAATTAATATGCTCGGAAATTAATAAAAATACTTTTAGATTTGTTTATTAGCATAAAATATTATGTAGCATTATTTATATTAATTATTAATGCTAAGTATGATAGTTTGGTTGTTATATATTTGTGAAATAATACTAATTTGGAGACTGAGACAATATAGGTTCAGTTAACTGTCAATCAGAGAATTAACTTCAAAGTACTGAAGAAAATTTGAAAACTGAAAAGTGGAGAACAGACACTGAAGTAATTGCATTTTCTTGTCATTGTTTATTGTGCTAGGACATACCACTTTCTGGTTTAGGTATTTCGAATGCACTCTTTTGCATTTGTAACAATCATATGTCAGGCTTCAAATTAGTCAAGTTTATACTTATGAGAAGAAATGAGTTAAACAATACTTCAAACATAAATTGAAACTGTATTAGTAATATGCATGCATATTTCTTAATAAAAGTTCATTCATCCACTAAACCAAGGACTTCTTTTTGAACAACTGGGATAATCAATGTGACCATCAATGCACAGTGTACGAAATGGAGGTGATGCTTTTGCCCTTTGATATCCACTATTACATATAAATTCTACATATTCCCCTGATAAGACATAAAGCTTTCCATTTTCTCTCCATTTGAGACTTATATTGTTTTTTCCCATAATTTCTTCTGATGTTATACATGCATCTGAAAGAAAAAAATACCAAAATATTATTAAGTAATTCATAAACCTACAGAAACTCAGCTTTCAGGCATTATTCCTTTATTTGAAAAACCTGTATAACACCAACATAGAGAATTAGAAAATACTTGTAACTAAATGATATCAAAATATATGTTTAATATGAAATTAGTTTTCAATATCAAAGTTTCCTAACATCAATGAAATAAGACACTTGTATATCAAGATTTTCATGCTGTAACCTCCCTCAGGACCCAGCAATTCCTCTCTTGGGAATATACCCTAGAGATGCCCAAACATACTACAAAAGCATTTGTTCCACTATGTTCATAGCAGCACTATTTGTAATAGCCAGAACCTGGAAACAGCCTAGGTGCCCCTCAATAGAAGAATGGTTAAAGAAGGTGTGGAACATATACACATTAGAGTTTTACTCAGCGGTAAAAAATAATGACATCTTGAATTTTGCATGCAAATGGATGGACATAGAAAACGCTTTACTGAGTGAGGTAAGCCAGACCCAAAAAGAGGAATATGGTATGTATTCACTCATAAGTGGATTCTAACCATAGTTAAAGGTCTTTGAGCCTATTATTCGTGATCCTAGAGAAGCTAAATAAGAAGACGAACCTTATGAAGATTTTTTAGCTATCCGCCAGGAGGTAGGAAATAGTCAAGAGTCCCAGGTAACCTTGGGTGCATGGGGGGGTGGGAGGGTTGTTGGAAGGGGAGAGGGTTAGAGAGAAGGGAGTAGGGGAGGAATGGAGAAAGCTCTGTTGACCGGGATGGGGGGAAGGGAGGAAGGATGAATGTGGGATCAGGGAAGAATATATTTCAACTAAGGGAGTCATATTAGAGTTTACAGGAAACTTGATTATATATGGGATCCCAGGTCCAAGGAGAGATCCCCAGATTGTTCTCTGGACAGAGGAGGGGGTGCCTGAACCGGCCTTGGCCCGTGACCATACTGATGAATATTTTGCTTATCACCATAGATCCCTCATCTGGCGTTGGATGACGATACAGATGGAGGCCCGCGTTGGAGCACGGAACTGAGCCCCCCAAGATCCAAATGGAAGGAAGAAAATGACAAAGGACTGCGAGGGATACTATCACCCACTGATACAAGGGGTCGGATCTAATGAGAGTTTACCAAGGCCAGATGGACCGTGACTGAACGAGCATGTGATCCAACCAGATTCTCTGAATGTGGCCGGATTTTCTGAATGTGGCTGGCCTGCAGTCTTACTGAGAAGCCATTGACAATGATACTGGGACTGGTTTCCTCTGCATATACTGGATTTTTGGGATCCAGTCTGTTTGGATGCTCACCTTCCTGGACCTGGAGGGAGGGGGGAGGTACTTGGACTTCTCACAGGGCAGGAGACCCTGACTGCCCTTGGGGACAAAGAGGGAGGAGAAGAGGGAGGGGGGGAGTGGGAGGGCGTTGGGAGGAGGGGCGTAAATGGAAACTCTTTATAATTTAATAAAATTACTTTCAAAAAAAAAGATTTTCATGCTGTTTGTTTTGATTTAGGTATTGGGTCAAAATACAGAATTTTGACTTTGGCATGCTTATGATATTCATATCTAATGATCAGTGAGATTACCATAGTTAAAGTTACTGTGGTTAGAAAGACAAGTCATAATTGACCTCATAATATTCATCATTCAGTCAAAAAATGATAACTATGAATCATGATTACCAAATCATGAATCTTTTGATAGTTTTTAAACATTAAATCTACTAAGACTATCAAGACTCTTTCAAAGGTTCATATTTCTTCAGTAATAAACTCTAAATGTACTGACATTGATAAAAGGTCAGAGGAAATGTTGAAGTTGAAAAGAACCATTTTTTAAAAAATTCTTAAAGGAAATAAGGAAGGTAATGGGAAAATGAATCGAAAAATTATAAACAACATGTGGTTTGCAACAGATTGAGACAGAAGAATTTGAAATTAGAAGCTGTACAACTTATATACAAATAGGACTGAAAATGTCAATAGCAGCAAAATTCTGACCACTAAAAATGGCAATTCTACCTACTGAGAAGGTCATTGATATGTATCATCTTTTAATCTTGTTTGCTTTGATGCATGATGGTATTTTTGAAAGTTATTTGTAATAAAGTTCATAAAATTAAGGAAGAAAAGAATTTAATACAGTAAGTCTGATTCAAACTAGAAAATAAGCAGCCAACCAAAAAATGCCTAAAGAAAATAAAAAACTGAAGGAGTGCATCTCTAACATAGTTTCCATAATATAATATTCTCTGGTAAGAGCAGCACTTAAAAATGAAAAAAATAGCTGCCAATATCAAACATTGAGAACATATAAATCCCACCATAGAAGAAGATACATAAAGTGAGTGTGAGGAAGAAGCAAATATAGGTGCAAACATTCTCTTAAAAGTCCCTTTGAGATATTTCAGGATGAATGTGCTGAAAATGGCTCAGATGGGAAACCATCTTGATTACCATCAATTAATGAATGCATAAAGACAGTGTCATATATCCATATGATGGAATATTTTTCAGACATCATAGATAATTTTATATTATTTGAGTGAGAAAATGACTGTGCAGGACAATAAGTGAAATGAGACAAAGAGAGGATGATAGGTTTCTTGTATTCTCTTTTACAGTGAAAATTAAAAAAAAGAAAAGTTCTCCTGAATATGTAGCAATAGTAGAGTTTGAGTGGTATGAGTGGGAGGGTGAGCTAACAGAGGTGGAGGGACATTAAGTGAAATAAGACAAACACAGGAAGAAAAGTTCTTTGTGATCTTTCTTACACAGTGGAAAGAAAAACAGATTGCTCCTGACTTCCTGGCAGTGATTAATCGAATCAGATGGTATATTTAAGGGAAGGGGAGGGTGTATGAGAGATGCTGGATTTAGTCACAGCAAAATGTACACAGGTATGGAAATATAAGCTGGCATGAAAATTCATGACTATCAATATATGTTAATCAAAACTCAATAATGAATTGATGGGGAATCTTTACCAATCAATTATCTGTAAGAGGTGGGACCAAGTTAGGGTGTGGTTTTCTGGGACCCCCCAAAAATGGCATGTGGCCCAGGTGCCCTCTCTCTGTGTGGTTTCCTTGCAGCAACAGCTGAGCTTGGACTTCTTATTCCTGTTTCATGTGTTTTCACGCTATAATAAATAAAAATATAATTGTTTTATCTTTTGGCTAGCCTAGTTATTTCCCCAATTGAGCTAACTTCTATAATGAATAACATGTAATTTTGTTAACTATTTTTATATAAAAAATCTAATAATCTTGCTTTCTTTACATGCTGATATTTGATAATTGTGCATGTGAGAAACAATAATTATAATGTATGAATGTATTATTGTAAAGATAAAAATATCCCAATTATGAAACTGACTTTCCCATGATCTTATGAAAATGAGTTACTTACTTAAACATTTTGGTGGCTCTGACCATTCTCCATTTCTACATGTTATTTTTTTGTTGCCCTGCATTTTATTGAATAACTTGCATTGATATTCGACTGATGATAATGGTGGGTATTCTGATAAGGTGAAGGAGGTGATGTCTCCATTGTCAATAGATGGAGGAGGCCCACATTTCCCTTTTGAACCTAAGAACACAATATTTGAATGTTTGAGAGATCAAGCCAAAGTACAGGCTCAAACAGAACCAATGAAAGAACAGATTAAACATAATATCAAGGTTTTAGTAGTTTGTGGTTACAGAAATTATTGCTTGAAGAAAGTTTAATTATATAAACAGAGAAAATACATGTTATATTTATTTATGGAGTACTTTTGAGAAGAAAAACAGTGAAAGAAAATAAAAAATAGTTAAGTGGAAACCCACCTTAAATGAGCAGCACAGAATGTATTAGTAACTGATATTGTAGCTATGACAAAACACCTGACAAAGGGAACTTACAAAGGGAATTTTTTTTTTTTGCTCTTTGGCTTTGACTCACAATTGGAGGGACCAGTCATTATGCTCTGAAAGTCATAGTGGTGAGAACACAAAGCAGCTGGTCAGACTGTGTTTGTAGTCAGGAAGCAGAGAGAGGTTACTGTTGTTACTCAGCTTACTGTCTCCTTTTATGAGTTAGAGGTTCTAGCACGTGGAGCAATGTTTACCGGTGCAGGGTGTTCCTTCCCATGCAGCTACCCCAATCTAGTTATCTTAGTCTAGTAGATGCTCAGAGATATATCCAGATGCTTGTTGACTGGGTAATTCCTGCTGACAACCAACACTCATCATCACATTGAGATGACAAGTGTATGGTGCAGGATTGGCTTAACAGTAAAGCAAAGTTACTTCTTTTGCTTTCATTCCCTTTAAATCAATTTCCTTACACTGAACAAGATATAGCATTTTTCCCCCGAGATTATAAAATCAGAACCAATTGCTATTCTTTCATTTTTTAAAACCAAAGCCTACTGCCTCAGCTTAGATTAAAGGAGTACAGATAACAAAATAAATATTAACCTTGTAGAAAAAATAATACAATAAGAAAAATAAGTCACATAAAGATTAAATATACACAGAGTCTGGATTCCATATATTATTGTATTTTTTTAAATTTTTGACTGTGAAGGAGCTAAGTAAAGCAAGACATTTCAGTGTATAGGATGCTCAACTAAACTAACATAGATATTTTAAAGGTATCTTGATTCTGAAATTTGGGTCTAAAGATTTGTTGCTTTGGAAAAGAGGTTCGTCTTTTGTTTTCACAGAAGATGAGAGCCTATGAATTTCTTTAAGAGTAATGTGGCTTGATGGACCAAGACCACCTGAAATATTATTGTGAACTCCCCCAAAATTATTTCACACAACAAAAAGCAGGAAGCAGTTTGGATAGAACTATGCCCAAATACCTTAAATGATTACTCATAAATGTTTGTTTACATTTAAAGGGTGCTATGTTATAGAGATTTGCATTGGTATAGATCAGAGTTTATTGATAAAAATTTAAGGCCAATTTTGTTATATGTATATTTTTGTTCCTGATTAAGGTATTGTGTTTGTGCAGCTCATTTAAAAATGTAAAGTATAATTAAGAAATATAGGTTAATCGATAACCATCTATAATAGTCAAGCTTGTAGTCTTGTTAGGTTTTCTAGATATATCGAGATATATTTCAGTTAAATAGGCAAATCTTTCAAAGACTACAGATTATTGCATTTAAAATGTTTTAAGAACTTAAACTATTCATGACAATGAGACAAGAGCTTTGGAAGTTCCTGTACTTCCTGTTTATCTAACTAATATTATATTCTTCTGGGGTCTTTGATGAAGTTGAAGAATAGGTAGTTATAGTAATAGTTTTCCTTAGTTATGAAAAAATATACAGTAGATATAAATATTGTAACTATACATTTTGTTTGATACCTGTTTTGTTATATGTAATTTTACTATGTTAAAGTTAAAGCCTTCCTTTTTATTTAAACAGAAAAGGGGAAATAGTGTGGGAAGTCCTTCTGTATTTGTGCTGATTTTATTGGATAATGAATAAAGAAACTGCTTTTGGCCAATGTCTTATCAGAGTGGATCTAGGCGGGAAAACTAAATTGAATTCTCAGAGAAAGAAGGCAAAGTCTGTAGAAATTATGGAGCCACCAGATGAGAAAGACATGAACTGCCAGTCAGAATCTTGCCAGCAGGCCATGTATCTCATGGTAAAATATAAAATTATCAGAAATGGGTTAATTTAAAATTTGAGAGCTAGTCAAAAATATGCTTAAGCTATTGGTCAAACAGTATTGCAATTTATACAAATTTCTGTGTGGTTATTTAAGGTCAGAGTGACTGGGAAATAAATAAGCAGCCTCCTACAACAAAGCTAGATATGGCCCCAGTCCTTTAGATAGAAGTGGACACAAGCCCAAAATCTATCTCCCATTGATTACAACTCACAACAGAAAAAAATTTTAGTTTTCTCCAAGGTAGTCTTGCTGAGTATACAAATAATGATAATGGCATATCTCATGCCTAGTAGCAGATAGCTAGCACAAAATGAACTCAATGACATTCTCACAGCTTTAAAATAATAAAACTTGCAAGTCCTTTGCATATTATTGTTTTCAGTTTTGTGTTTATGAGTTTTCTTTGTGCATGTGATGTGGGATTACCCTCCATATGCTGTGAATACGATTGGTTAACTAATAAAGAGAACTGCCTTGGCCTGTTAATAGAGCAGAACTTAGTTAGGTGGAGAAAACTAAACTGAATGCTGGGAGAGAGCAGGCAGCAGAGTCAGGGAGAAGCCATGTAGGCCAATGGAGTCAGACGGAACTTTACCTCGTAAGCCACAGCCATATGGCAATACACAAATTACTAGAAACGGGTTAAATTAAGATAGAAGAGTTATCCAGAAATAGGCTTAAGCTATTGACCAAATAGTATTGCAAATAATATGGAGATTATTTCTGAGAGATTATTATTGGGCTGAGCAAGTGAAAACTAACTAGTGACCTCCTTACAACGTGTTTACAATGCGTGTTTTTGTAAAAGAAGTTTCTCTGTCTCTTTTTACCCCATAGCCACTTCCAAACAATCACTCAGAAACTTTTATTAATTATAAATGCTCAGCTGGTAGTTCAGGCTTATTGCTAACTAGCTCTTATACTAAATTATTCCATAATTCTTATCTATGTTTCACTACATGGCTTGGTACCTTTTCTCAGTTAAGCATCTCATATTGCTTCCTTGGTGTCTGACTGACTACTGACTGTGCTGTTCTTACCAGCATTCTTAGTCTGGTCACCCTGCAGATGCTTCCTGCTTGGAAACCAATTAGAATAGTAAATATTTACAGCATACAAGAGAATCCACAGCAGTTTTTCTACGGCTAGCTGTATTTCTTTCACTTTTTCCTTGCCTTTTTTTCTTCTATTTGCTTGTTTGTTTTGTCCTACTTGACTTTGTTTTTATTTTCTCTTATTCATATTTTTAGATACCTGTTTGTTTTCTTGAGAGAGAGAGAGAGAGAGAGAGAGAGAGAGAGAGAGAGAGAGAGAG